GAGGAAGATCAGATGAGCAACCAATGCAACTCTTGTGCTGTAAAGTCAAGCAGACCATATAATGATGGCTGACATTCCTGTACAATGAGTCAGAGGTCCATGAGCTCTGCCCCAGTTGACAGACTGGCAGACATCACTCTGTTCACACATACTTAACTCATTCAGTGTTCACAGATCCTGGAGAGTTTGGTTTAATTCTTGTCCTAATCTGATGAAGAAACCAAGATGAATAGAACATAGTTGTCTGAAGTAAGGCCTCAATATGGGTCCTTTGGAAAGTAAGGCTACCTTCCTCCACAGGTGCTGCCTCCCTATCTTTGTAAAATCCATCCTTCCATAGAGTAGATATAGAGTACTTCCATAAAGTACAAATGTCCAGCCAACTGCTAACCTCATGTTTGAACCCAACTGCCTTTGATTTCTGAAACAATTGCTGTCCCCTTAAAGTCTCATAACAACACAAAAAGGTACAAAAGAACTCTCCAGCACCACATTAGACCAATTAAAAGACCCAAAAAATGCAGCAAGTTATGTTTATTGGTAAGAAAGATGGTTCTGGTGGGACAAAATGATGTAGCATTAAAAAAAAAAACAGATTGGCGTAATCAATATGATTGCATAAGATATGGCCCACACAGGTTTCCAGTTCTGAATACTTGGCACTCAGAAGGCTTTGGATGTTGTGGAGACCCAGAATTTAGCTGTAGGCATTGGGGTATGAAAGGAAAAGCCTAGATGTTTCAGGGCATCATTTCACTTGGTCTCCACTGTTTACTGATTCCCTTACAGGGAATGAGCAGCCTCCTATTACTGGTGCCATGCCTTCCCCAACAAGAACATAGAGAACCCCCTCCACACCCTAGTTGCTTTCATCACATATGAAGGCATAAGTCACAGTCTCCCACACCAGTTTAGATTTGTGAGTAATAGAATGGTTATTTCATTAAAGGGAAAATTTAAAGATCACCATTCCAAACAACAGCCTTCTGCAGGATCAGGAAAGGAGCCTAGTAGCTGGAAGTAATGATTGAAGCAAGAAATCAAGCTGAAGGCTAATGCTGCTTTTTGAAAGAGAGAGAGAGCACACCCCAATGGGCTGTTTTCTCATCGGATATTAACTGAAGGAGTGAAAAAAGCTCCTGCAACATACATACTTGGTCATAGCAAAAAAAAATTACCAGTATGTGAGAAAAACCTATTTTAGTTTATATTTTTTTCATCCCTACAGGATATATCACAGAGACAGATTCTGTTTCACACATGAGTTTCACCGATGATTTCCCTATAAAGCAATTATAAGACCCAAAAGATGCATTAAGTTATGTTTATTGGTAATAAAGATGGTTCTGTTGGGACAAAAGAATGTAGCATTAAAAAACAGATTGGTGTACTCACGATGATTTCATGTGATATGGCACACACAGGCTTCTGGTTCTGAATACTTCATGCTCCCTGGGTTTTGGAGATTGTGGTGACCCTGAACCTAGCTGGAAGCTTTGGGGCCTGAAAGAACAAGCCTTGATATTTCAGGACTTCCTTGTACTTGGTCCCCACTGTTTACTGATTTCCTTACAGAGAATGGGCAGCCATATACTCCTGCTGCCATGACTTCCACACATGAACAGAGAGAACACCCTCCACACCCAGGTTGCTTGTATCACATATGAAGGCATAAGTCACAAACAATCTCCCACACCAGTTTAAAATTGTGATTAATAGAATGATTATTTCTTTAAAGGGCAAAAACTTACAGAATCCCATCCCTGACAAAAGCCCTCTGTGGGATCAGGAAAGGAGCCTAGTAGGCGGAAGGGAAACTCGAAGCAAGAGATCAAGCTGAAGGTAAATGTTGTTTTTTGAAAAAGAGAAAGACAACACCTCAATGGGCTGGTATCTCAGTGGCTATTAGCTGAAGGAGCAGAAGGAGCTCATGCAACACACTTATTTGGACATAGCAAAAAAAATTGTTACTAGTATGTGAGAAAAATAAACTATTTTACGTTATTTATTTCAGTCCTTCCGGCTACATCACAGAGGCAGGATCTGCTTCATGCATGAGAGTCACTGATGATTTCCTTTAAGAAAAACCCCACAAACTCCCAATAACATCATCAGCATTCAACAACATGTCTATGATTGCTTTACCTTGCCTTTGCTTGAGCAGTAAATGATGCTGCTAGTTAATCTGTGCAGCAATGCAAATTTCCCTTTAACTACATAGACAGGATTCACAGGTTATCTTAAACACATCAGGGAGTCACACTACGATGGATTGGGTTAATCTTCACCAGTGTGACAGTGACATATTTAAGATCTTTCCTATGTCTATAAATCTCAGAATTGTCAACATGATATGTTGTCATACAGACTTCTTAGGGTTTTGTCCCACTGGTGGTTTCCTTGGTATCCTTCCATAATTTTTGCCAGATCCAATCAGTTTTGCCATGCACTCTCAGCTCCACATCATTGTGTTCCCCTTATTTTCTAGTCCAGGCATTTTAGACATCTTATAACTGTTGCAAGAGTATCTCATGTTCCACCTAAATGATTTGGAGTGTTATTTAGGCTGAGTTTTATCTTACATCCTTGATTTCATTGACTTTCCTTAGGCGTAATTCCTGGGACACTTAGCCTAACTCCTGAAGGGTTCCTCCAGTTACTTCTCCTTGCTGAGACAGTTTACACTCTCAGTACTACTGTGACAGTGTTTCTGTAGCAAACATTCTTCTCAAGGTGAGAAGAAATTTCAATATTACAATCCATTTGTTTTTATTGTGATTTAAATACAAACACACACACACACACAAACAAGTTAATGCACATACACTGATGATATCTCAATTTAGGGGGCCATTCTGCGGATGTCACGATCATTACCTCTCGAGGAGTTCTTAGAAAGCCATGGGGAGACCCCCTAAGGAACTTGGGCAGGTGAGGAGAGGTTGACTGCACTGTGCCATATCCATAGGCACTATGGGTGACTTGTCCTATAGTCAGACTGATGACTATCTTGAATATCACCATGGAATTTTGTTTGGCAAATGATGGAGATCAAGCCAGGGTAAAAATCAGAAAACTAGATGGAGCTTCCAAGCTTCAGTTGAATAGCCATCCGATGGAGAATAAGAGCAAGGCTGTCAGGAATAAAATGGCTTGGTCCACACACTGAGACACGGTGCCTGAACTAAGGGATTTCAACTAAACCAGTGGCCTCGGAATGAAAGAACATGAGAACAAACTGGAAGCTCTGAATGTGGCTGACAATTGGGGCAGACTGAGAAGCCAATGATAATGGCACTGGTATTTGTCTGCACTTCATATACAGGCTTTTTTGTGATCCTATTCTATGTGGATGCATACCTTCCTAAATCTGGATGGACGAAGGGTGGGCTAGGACTTCCCACAGGTCAAGGTACCCTGCCCTCAATTTGGATTGGAGTAGGAGTAGACAGGTTTGGTGGGGGAGCGAGAAGAAAGTGGGTGGAGGAAACAAAGTGGAAATATTGATATTTATTTTCATGAAGTAATATAAAAATCAATAGAAGATAACGAATGAAGAGATTGGAGCTAGGAAAAAAAATTCATGTGAGTTGTTGACTGAGACACCAAAGACTTTTTTTACAGGAAAACACATAAAGGGATTGAGTCACTTGGCAAAATATGACTCATGTATTTGGGAAGATGAGTGGGGTTTTTATTTTGGGTCTCCAGGGGGTTGTTTGAGCAGCATTATAGGACCTGTATACTGGATATTTCTGTGGGTTAGTAGGGAAGAAACCTGCCTATGAGGGGTTTTATGACATAAGAAGAGCCTCAGTGATGTCACAAAACTGTGGTTGCTGGTGGCCACTATGTTCCACATGAAGCACGAGTCTTCTGTGAAGGTGGGCTTACTATCTTCACGGTGGCTGAGGAGTTGAGTTCAGCTCTTGGGCTCCACAACTGTTCAACAGATTAGGCAGCTGAACATTTCCAGAAGATGGACTCTGGAGAGCCAAGACATTTTCTTTTGGTAAATATGTTTAGGAAGCAACGGGGACCTCTGTAGACCCAGAAAGGTTTCCTTCAAATCTCCTGTGAGTCTAAAATTTATGTTGTTAACAGCTACTCTAATTGATAGCTGTGGGGACGGTGATTGGAAGGTATTCTTCCCACTTTATCTTTGCTATCAATGTCCAATTCATCAGTCCACTAAAGTGGCAATGATCCTTTTTGTCCATATGTGTTTTAAAAGATATTAATTATTTCTAAATGGTGCTGTTGCCCAGATTAATGAGTCTTTATTTTTGCAGTTTGTCTCACAATACTCACTTCTCTAATGAAGACACAGAATGGCTTTATGTAATAAACCTGGGTCTGGATCAGGAGACACAATACAGAGGGCCAGTGGACTGGAGTGCCATGACCTGGGGCAGGTGGCTTTGGATCAATCACCTAACCAGTAGCTTGAGTGGGAAGGAGAGAAGTAGCTGTCCTTCAAATGCTTTGCCATCTGTTCAGACTTTTCTTTCTCACTTTGTGGATAGGCATACAGTCTCCTCTCACTGACACAGCCAGTCAGGAAATAGGATTCTCAGTAGAGCTCCATTGCCTTTGGCAGCAGGAATGTGTCTCTGATAAACATATACTGAGCTGTAGACAATAGTTTGATAATTTTCCTATGAATTTCTTAAGACCAAATCACATTTAGGAAGCCAAAATCTATTCAGCACTGCCTTTGTCACCTGTCCCCAAGATCTTCCAGAAAGGAGTCTTGACCTCACATCCTCAACTTCTTATCCTCCACTTATGGTGGAGGAAACCACTTTGTGTCTGATTTAAACGGAAGAATTCTTTCGATGCAGAGATTGGCAGCTATGAAGCCCAAGCACAGAAAGAGAGCCAAGAGACAGTGGAACAGGAGTGCTGTGGCCTATCTCAGTAAGTCTACCGCCATGATGAAGATGCCTCTTCGTATGAGATGCATGCCACCTCTCCAGAAGAAGAATGGGCCAGCTCTCCAGAAGCAAATACTGAGTAAGCCTTTTGAGGCCCTGGAGAATATTGTTGGCAGCAGAATTTGTCAAAGCTGGAAGGAAGCCAATGAACCAGTCACGCAGTGGAAAGCCATCATTCTAGATCAAATGCCAACATATCCCTTTCTCTATTTGTTGAAATATGATGGGATTGATTGTGTCTATGGCTTGGAGCTTCACAGCGATGAAAGGATTTTAAATCTTAAGATCCTGGTTAATAATGAGCCATTTCCTCAGGTGACAGACACTCATCTCTCAAACACCATAGTTGGCAGAGCAGTGAAACATACATTCACGGGCACAAATGGCTCTAAGGATGACTGGAACGGGATGGTCCTAGAGGAGGTGCCAATCATGAAGACCTGGTTCTATATTACCTACAAGAAAGATCTGGGCCTGGCGGTGGTGGCGCATGTCTTTAATACTAGCACTCAGGAGGCAGAAGCAGGTGGATCTCTGGGAGTTCGAGGCCAGCCTGCTCTTCAAGAGCTAGTTCCAGGACAGGAACCAAAAGCTACAGAGAAACCCTGTCTCGAGAAATCAAAAAAATAAAAATAAAAATAAAGAAAGATACGGTCTTGTACATTTACCACCTCCTGGAAGACTACCTTGAAGGCAACCTCCACATCATGCCAGGCTCTAAGGAGGAGTGGAGTGGTGTGGTCCCAGATGATTTGCAGACCATGACGATCTGTTTCTACATTGTCAACGAGAATGATCCAGTCCTGTACCTTTTCAACCATCTTGATGTCTCCATTGAAGTCAACCTCCAAATCATGCCTGAATGTCCTCCAGTAGAGGTGATTTTGGAATTGGCAGGGATCCCTTGGCAGGCAAAAGTGTGCAGTACACCAAAAATATGGAATCCAAGATAGGTAAAATTATTTGCCAAGTTCCCACCAAACCTTCTCTGTATTTCATCAAGTTTGATAATGACTTCCATATCTATTTCTATGATTTGGTGAAGTTCTGTTAAAGTGAAATTCTCAAATTTTGAAGAGCAGCCTTAAAACTGTGTTTGGGGAATGTGTTTTTTTCAGAGATACCTCAGGTCTTCTAATAATCCTGGTATTTTTTCCAACGGAATATTCTTGCTCGAAAAATAAAAATTTGTGAACATGTTGTTTACATTGGTCAATGGTGGATTTTGTTAGGTGGATGGGACATCACAGAAATACATGCCTCAAAACAAAGCAGGATTTATGGTCTTTTCCCTTTGGAGAGGAAAGGACTAGGGTTACGGGGTGTTTTAATGGACAAGTTTGCTGTCTAGGAAGTAGTGGAGAGGGGAAAAAAAGTTGTAGTATGTCAGGGTGGGATAAAGCATGAGGGAAAAACATGTCAAATGGAAAGATGTGACAGATATCAGAGTGAGGTATTGGGACTTAAGAGGATAAAGAGTAGATTAATCAGGCAGGGACACAAAAGTATACTCAAAATCAGAGAAAATTAGTTTTCATTTGATGAATGGTTTAATTCATACTGGCTGTAAGTCACTGGATGTTTGATCTCCACTGGAGCACGTTGAGTGACCAGGAGCCTCCTGCTTAGAGAAAAGTGTCTCCTCCCAGTTGCTCTTCTGCAGTGGGTTGGACATCAAGCTACCTACTTCCTTTTGCCAGAATTCTGTCTGCCAACTACTTTGTCATGCCTGGATTGGGTATGCCTTGAACTCTCATAGGTCTTATGCATGCCATCCAACCCTTGTGAGTTCATTTAAATGATTGCCCTGCCATATCTGGAAAACAGTGTTCCCTTTCATTAATCATGTTCTGTAGGGCTTGGGCTATAAAACTCATCGACAGACGCACCCACACACAGGATAAACATGTACACATTGATGCCCACTAATGTGTGACATGCACACATATGATGAATGCACTGATCTCCATCAAATCAGTAAACCAGGGAATCCATGATGCTAGGTGGAGTGTGGCAAAATCCCCACAAACCCATCAGACCCCCAAATACCAGTATGGTATTGATGTCTGACTCCTATCATGTAAGGATCCTGCCATCCTATAATGGGGCGATTTTTGCTTCCTTCATCTTCACAAACTTGGTTAAAATGTTAGAGTTGTCAAACTGGCAGTTTGGGTCCAGCTTGTAGATCAGCTGTCCCAGGTCATGTGATTTGGCTACAATTTGGGTGAGAACTTGTACCAGTGCATTCTGGTACACCCTTACCTCTTCTTCTCCCTGTCCTCATCGTCACTTTCGTGTTTGGGCCTGGAGCACAAAGAAGGCAAATTGAAAGAAGGGTCCTCCTACGTGGAAAACCTTTTCAATCCTTCATTTGGCCTGACTCTCAGAGGGAATGCAGCAGATTTTATCCTTTTAGGTCTCCTAATTCATTGGTTCAATCATTTTTCCAATGAATGATTGAATTCAACCATTCTTCCATGTCTTTCTCTCTTCTTCCTTCCCTTCTTCCATCTCCCCATTTATTGCAGTAATTTGAGCAGCGGGGCTGTGTCCCCAGCACCGTGTCCGCCTCGCTAGTATATTCCCTGAAATAACATCACAAAAACTGTATTCTTTTAAACACTGCCTGGCCCCTTATTTTCAGCCTCTTAACCCATTTCTAATAATGTATGTTGCAGCACGAGGTGCGCTTACCAGGAAAGATTCAGCATGTCTGACCTGGTGGCTGGCTGCATTTCCATCTGCTTCAGAGAGCAGAGCTACCATGTCTGCCGGGGGGGGGGGGGGCATGGCGTCTCTGTGCTCACTTCCACTTCCTCCCAGCATTCTGTTATGTTTACTCCACCCACCTATGTTCTAACCTATCAGGGCAAACAGTTTCTTCATTCAATTAACCAATGAACTATACTCCATCATATCCCCTATTTCTGTTTAAACAAGAAAGGAATCTTTAACTTTAACATAGCAAAATAACACATAACAAACAGAACAGTTATCAAGCAAGAATGATAGTTACAATATTTATATCTATTTTATATTTTATCATAATAATGGAAAACTATAACTATCTATCTAATCTTCAACTGCATCAAAGGCTCCAGAAGAAAACAATATTACCTAAGCAAACAAAAAGTAAGCCATTTTCTAAGTCTAGAAATGACAGAGATATCTCGCTACCTGGTCAGTCACCCAAAGTTCCACTGTACCGTTAGGGTATCCATCTTCAGCCTACAGGCCCACAGACATTTCCATGAAGCTGGAAATTTCAAAGACAGTCACTATCTGCTTGTCTTGAAGAGTGTCTTGCAAACTCTTTCATGAATCAGGAAACCCGAAAGATCATCTCACCATTACCCAAGTTCGGTAGTCCTCTCTCTACGTTTTCTCTGTGTCCAGTTTATGCAATCGTCCAGGCAAGAACGGTTTCTTGCCCAAATAGCTATCAAACTTATAAGGATCCTCTTCGATGCCCACCTTCTTCCTGAAGTAGATTGTTGCTGCCAAGAGCAGAGTGTCTCATTGTCACAAAACCCTAAGGTATAAAAACATTAAATAGCATATTTCATAGTCTAAGAAAGATATGAAGAATGCCTATCTAACTGAAATACATATCTATATAGCTAGAAATTCTAACTAACATGACTACAAACTTGACTATTATTAATGATTATCCATTAACAACCTATATACATTACATTTTTTAATGAATTACACAATCATAATACCTTAATAAAGATCAAAAATGCATATACATATAACAAAATTTACCTTAAATCTCTATCAATAATGCAAAATCTATACTAATGCAAATTATTCATATCTATATTACATCCCCCTTTAAATGTAAAAGAACATTTATAAACCATATTTGGGAACATGGGTGCAGTTTTTTCTCTCCAAACTGCTTCCTTCTGAATGGGGGCGTTGTTAATTAGGTGTTTCATGGTATAACCTGTGTGCTAGTTTCTTCTTAGTTGGCAGTTGAGTGAAGCAGTGTTTCAAAGATGTTCACAGCAACCTTTCAGGAGGGCGAGGTCCTTCATACCATATTGGGATAGTGGAAATCCACAGACTCTCATCCTCTGTGAAAACAAAATAAGAAACTCCTTTCCAAACATCCTGTCCTTCGATCCAAATTTCAAAGTCAAGGCATTTTCAAAACATCTATGTTTGATTAGTTCAGCAGCATTTATAAAAAAAAATATCTTTTAGTAGCTGTTGCTCCTTCCTCAGAATTCAGACGATTCAAACAGAGCATAATAGCAAACGATATCAAAATTCTCTCTGTATTTTCCATCTTTTTGAGCTTCAATTTAAGCTCTATTTTGTTTATTTTTCCTTTTTATTTTTTGCCTTTTGAGACAGGTTCTCTGTATCTTTCACCTGAAATGAAATTCTGTAGACCAGGCTGTCCTTTAAGTCTCATAGATCCCTCTGTCTCTGCCTCCCAGGCATTGGGATTAAAGGTATATGCTCCTACACGTTGAACTCACAGAGATCGGTTTGTGTCTGCCTTCTAGGCACCACACCTTGAAGTCACAGAGGTCAATCTCCCTCTCCCTCTCAAGTGTGGGGATTAACGGTGTATGCTACCACACCCAAAAACTCTCTTCTTTTTTTTTTAAACTTTTAACATCAACTTTTATTCTGCACATATTTTTTTTAACTTTCTTTTTGTTTTATTGAGAAAAAAACAATTTCTGCCTCCTCCCAGCCTCCCACTCCTCACCCCACTCCTCTCCCCTTCCCTCCACTCCTCTCCCTTTACCCCCACTCCTCTCCCCCTCCCTCTCAAGTCTGAAGAGCAATCAGGGTTCCTTGCCCTGTGGAAAGTCCAAAGTCCTCCCACACCCCATCCTGGTCTAGGAAGGTGAATATCCAAACTGGCTAGGCTCCCACACAGCCAGAATATGTAGTAGGATCAAAACCCAGTGCCAATGTCCTTGGCTTCACAGCAGCCCTCATTGTCTGCCATATTCGGAGAGTCCGGTTTTATCCCCTGCTTTTTCAGTCACAGTCCAGCTGGCCTTGTTGAACTCCCAATAGATCAGCCTCACTGTCTCCATGGGTGGGTGCACCCCTCTTGGTCCTGACTTCCTTGCTCATCTTCTCCCTCCTTCTGTTCCTCATTGGGACTATGGGATCTCAGTCCAGTACTCCAGTGTGGATCTCTGTCTCTATCTCCATCCATCACCAGATGAAGGTTCTATGGTGATATGCAAAATATTCATCAGTATGGCTATAGGATAGGATCATTTCAGGTTACCTATCTTCAGCTGCACCAGGAACTAACTGGGGACCTCGCCTTGGGCACCTGGAAGCCGCTCTGGGTCCAAGTCTCTTCCCAACCCTAAGATGGCTCCCTTAATTAAGATATGTGCTTCCAAGCTCCCCTATCCAACCTTCCTTTATCCCAATCATCCTGTTGCCCCAAGTTCTCCCCATCCTACACTTCTCACTTTTCTCTCCCCTCCATTTACCTCCCTCCCCCCCTCCCTTAAGATCCTGATTTTTGCCTGGCAATCTTGTCTACTTCCCCTACCCAAGAGGATAGCTATAGGTTTTTCTTTGTGTTCACCTTCTTATCTAGCTTCTTTAGGATATCCAATTATAGACTCACTGACCTTTATTTAAGTCTAGAAACCAATTATGAGTGAGTATATCCCATGTTCATCTTTTTGGGCCTGTGTTACCTCACTCAGGATAGTATTTTCTATTTCCATCCATTTGCATGCAAAATTCGAGAAGTCATTGTTTTTTACCACTGAGTAGTACTCTAATGTGTATATACTCCACACTTTCTTCATCCATTTTTCCATTGAAGGACATCTAGGTTGTTTCCAGGTTCTGGCTATTACAAATAATACTGCTATGAACATAGTTGAACAAATGCTCTTGTCAGATGATCGGGCATCTCTTCAGTATATTCCCAAGAGTGGTATTGCTGGGT